ATACGGTGGTACAGAACGTACATTGCTAATATATATTAAAAACGTAAAAGAAGAACTCTGGGCTGAAACCAATTTAGGTCATTTTCATGGTTTCATCCTTTCTGTCGAAATTGTCCACCTGCTTGTGGGTTTCCATTGTTGGAAAGTGATTGGCTGGCCCTGATTGTTTCTTGTTGAAAATGAACAAAATCTGGCTACTGGTATTTTATTTATTTTTTTTAAAAAAAAAACAACTCTAAAATCATAACAGTAAATAAAGAACAAAAATGGGAAGTCCAGACAAGAAACAATCATGGCCAGGTAATCACCTCCCAACAAAGGATTCCACCAGGCAGTAAGCAGCCAGACCTTGAAACTGCTAGGCTATTAAATGCTAATCAAGGTGGCCAATTGCAACATTTACACCTACCTCAAACAGACAAAAGTTCTTTCTCCCAACTTGGGCCTTCCACAGATATATAAACCCAATTTTCCTAGTTTCCAATCGACCACACAACCTCTGAGGATGACTGCCATAGATGCAGGCAAAATGGCAGGAGAGAATGCTTCTGGAACATGGCGATACAGTCCGGAAAACTCACAACAACCCAGGACTAGAAACTTTCCTAAACACAGATATTATATATTTATATATATATATATATAATCTTTATTGAATGCTTTCATAATACTTATTACTTTAGAAAGAAAATTAGTTAAAATCTAAGAAAAATATAAAGTCGGGATAAAAGAAAGAAAAGCAAGAGACAAAAAAATAAATTAAAAAATAAAGAAAAAGAAAACGAATAATGAAGTAAGTTAAACAAAACAAAACAGAAACTACAGCTGTTATTTTCTTCTTCGGTCCGACTTCCGGGAAACTTCGAGGAGGGCTTCTTCCTTTTCCTTCTTCCGTAGCTTTACCTTCTTTTTCTCTTTCATCATCATTTTTTTTTTAAATTTATGGGGTAAAACTGAGATTTCGCATATCTTACTTTTTTTAAAAAGTTCTTATTTAAAATATTCATTTATCAATGTCCAATCTGTCTCTTGATTATCCCTTTATATTTTTGCCCTAAATAACTTAGCCGGTCCATATTTCTTACGTCCATGATTTTCTTTTTCCAATCCTCAATTGGATTTCCTTTTTTCGCCATAATCTCGCATAGCAAATTCTAGCTGCAGTTGTGGAGAGAAATAAAAGTTTGTTTATATTACTCTCAATTTTTTGATCGTAAATTCCCAACAGAAATAGTTCGGGTTTAAGTGGAATATTAATCTTGAATATTTTTTGCAGATTTTCCTGTATTTCTTCCCAGTAGCTTTTTGCATTCTTGCACTGCCACCACATATGACAGAAGGTACCTTCCACTTTTCCACATTTCCAACATTTTGAGTTTAAATTCTTGTAATACTTCCCTAATTTATGTGGCGTCATGTGCCATCTATAGAACATTTTTGTCCAGTTTCCTTTTAAATCATAAGCACGTATATATTTCAATTTCTTATTCCATATAGTCTCCCATTCGTTTAATCCTATATATAGATCTTCCAATATTTCTTGCCCATTTTATCATACATTCTTTAACTCCTTCTTCTTCTGTACTCCATTCCAATAGCTTTTTATATATTATAGCTATTGTTTTCTTTTCTATCCTCATTATTTTAGGGCTATTTTATCCTAAACATGGATATTATTTTATCCTAAACGCGGATATTAACATGTACCTTCTCTCAAGGTTTTGGCTGAGCCTGGTTGCAGCTTCGTAAAGCAACCCACATGGCGCCTGTTTGATAATATTAAAGAATATTATTAAAGGTTATTACAGGTTATCCAGTGCTGATGAAAAGTCGAACACACTGCTTCTTAAAACTGTGGGTCCCAATCTCAAATGGGATCCTCGCAAGAGAAAATGTGGGTCATGAAAATTTTGTCAATAGTAAAAGGTTTCTGAACACCACCTAGTGACTGTTTTAGGCGTTTACATGAATCTGAGCAACAAGGACGCTGCGGAAAATGCTTCAACTACTTCATAAAAAGGGGAAATCCGTCTATTTAGCAAGCCTTGCTAATGCTGATTTACTCTCAGTAGATGTTTGATTTTTAGACCTCGCAAGAGAAAATGTGGGTCATGAAAATTTTGTCAATAGTAAAAGGTTTCTGAACACCACCTAGTGACTGTTTTAGGCGTTTACATGAATCTGAGCAACAAGGACGCTGCGGAAAATGCTTCAACTACTTCATAAAAAGGGGAAATCCGTCTATTTAGCAAGCCTTGCTAATGCTGATTTACTCTCAGTAGATGTTTGATTTTTAGACCTCGCAAGAGAAAATGTGGGTCATGAAAATTTTGTCAATAGTAAAAGGTTTCTGAACACCACCTAGTGACTGTTTTAGGCGTTTACATGAATCTGAGCAACAAGGACGCTGCGGAAAATGCTTCAACTACTTCATAAAAAGGGGAAATCCGTCTATTTAGCAAGCCTTGCTAATGCTGATTTACTCTCAGTAGATGTTTGATTTTTAGACCTCGCAAGAGAAAATGTGGGTCATGAAAATTTTGTCAATAGTAAAAGGTTTCTGAACACCACCTAGTGACTGTTTTAGGCGTTTACATGAATCTGAGCAACAAGGACGCTGCGGAAAATGCTTCAACTACTTCATAAAAAGGGGAAATCCGTCTATTTAGCAAGCCTTGCTAATGCTGATTTACTCTCAGTAGATGTTTGATTTTTAGACCTCGCAAGAGAAAATGTGGGTCATGAAAATTTTGTCAATAGTAAAAGGTTTCTGAACACCACCTAGTGACTGTTTTAGGCGTTTACATGAATCTGAGCAACAAGGACGCTGCGGAAAATGCTTCAACTACTTCATAAAAAGGGGAAATCCGTCTATTTAGCAAGCCTTGCTAATGCTGATTTACTCTCAGTAGATGTTTGATTTTTAGACCTCGCAAGAGAAAATGTGGGTCATGAAAATTTTGTCAATAGTAAAAGGTTTCTGAACACCATCTAGTGACTGTTTTAGACGTTTACATGAATCTGAGCAACAAGGACGCTGCGGAAAATGCTTCAACTACTTCATAAAAAGGGGAAATCCGTCTATTTAGCAAGCCTTGCTAATGCTGATTTACTCTCAGTAGATGTTTGATTTTTAGACCTCGCAAGAGAAAATGTGGGTCATGAAAATTTTGTCAATAGTAAAAGGTTTCTGAACACCACCTAGTGACTGTTTTAGACGTTTACATGAATCTGAGCAACAAGGACGCTGCGGAAAATGCTTCAACTACTTCATAAAAAGGGGAAATCCGTCTATTTAGCAAGCCTTGCTAATGCTGATTTACTCTCAGTAGATGTTTGATTTTTAGACCTCGCAAGAGAAAATGTGGGTCATGAAAATTTTGTCAATAGTAAAAGGTTTCTGAACACCACCTAGTGACTGTTTTAGGCGTTTACATGAATCTGAGCAACAAGGACGCTGCGGAAAATGCTTCAACTACTTCATAAAAAGGGGAAATCCGTCTATTTAGCAAGCCTTGCTAATGCTGATTTACTCTCAGTAGATGTTTGATTTTTAGACCTATTTTATATATCTTTATACCCAATGTCGTGTAAAAATTTATCTGGCTGAAAGAGGTTGTATGTTTAGGAAGCCTAAGTCTGGGAGTCAGGACCCCTGGGGAGTCGCAAGGGGTTTTTAAAGGGGTCACCAAAGACCATCCGGAAATATATATTTCTGATGGTCTTAGGAACCTCTTTGCAGAGAAGGCGGAAGATCTCGCTGCCTGTCCTTCTCTTCCTTTTGGGAAAGAGACGGTGAAACCTCACATCAAAAGAGCAGGCGTGCTCAGTGCATGGCAGCGTTATGCACATGTACAGACAAGGGAGAGCGTGTGAGGCTGGAGAGAGATTCGCGCCAGCAGGTCCCTTCAGGACATGGGGATTATGCGTGGGAAGTTTGGCGTTGATGGGGTTCAGAATGCTCCTTGATTGTAGGTGGACTATAAATCCCAGCAACTACAACTCCCAAATGTCAAGGTCTATTTCCCCCAAACTCCACCAGGGTTCACATTTGGGCATATTGATTATTCGTGCCAAGTTTGGTCCACATCCATCATTGATTGAGTCCACAGTGCTCTCTGGATATAGGTGAACTACAACTCCCAAACTCAAGGTCAATGCCCAACAAACCCTTCCAGTATTTTCTGTTGGTCATGGGAGTTCTGTGTGTTAAGTTTCATTCGATTCCATCATTGGTGGAGTTCAGAATACTCTTCGATCGTCGGTGAGCTATACATCCAAGCAACTACAACTCCCAAATACCAAGGTCTATTTTCCCCCAAACTCCACCAGTGTTCACATTTGGGCATATTGAGTATTCGTGCCAAGTTTGGTCCAGATCATTGATTGGATGTGGGTGAACTACAACTCCAGAGCTCAAGGTCAATGCCCACCAGTTACTCCCAGTATTTTCTGTTGGGCATGGGAGTTCTTTGTCCCAAGATTGGTTCAGTTCCATCATTGGTGGTGTTCAGAATGCTCTTTGATTGTAGGTGAACTATAAATCCCAGCAACTAAACTCCCAAATGACAAAATCAACCCTCACCAGTATTTAAATTTGGATATATCGGATATTTGTGCCAAATTTGGTCCATATTAATGGAAATACATCCTGCATATCAGATATTTACATGACGATTCATAACAGTAGCAACATTACAGTTATGGCGTAGCAACGAAAATAATGTTCTGGTTGGGGGTTCACCACAACATGAGGAACTGTATTAAGGGGTCGCGGCATTGGGAAGGTTAAGAAGCACTGGTCTAACATATTTGGAGGATGTCAGGTTTTTAAAATGCTGATTTTCTAAGTATTTCCATTTCAAATAGTTTAGTTTTGGACTGTAAATAATTATTTTCCTCCCTCCAATGTTGTGATTGCTCCCCCCATCCCTTGCCGTAGTGCTAAACAACCCCAGCCATCTTTTGTGTCCTGAGTTCCTTAACCCTCTCGACCTCAGCTATACACAGAATGGGATTTTACACATGTTGGACAGAAACAAGCGGATCAAGCCCCGGCCGGAGAGATTCCAGAACTGTAAAGACGTCTTCGACTTGATCTTGACTTGCGAAGAAAGAGTCTACGATCAAGTAATAGAAGGTAATGGCTGAGTTTGGGGGGCTCCAGATAGAACATCCTTATTGTTAATGTAAGGTTAGTGTAATGTGAATGTTTAAATGTAATTTTGTGCAATGCCTGTGACTGTAACCTGATTGCATTAGCAGAGAGTGTATTGACACTGAAAGGGTTGTGACCCTGAGTGTACCTGGAACACGTAGGGAGGATCCAGAGATAAGATTTCGTTCGTCCTTCTTACTTCGGTGCTTTTGTCTTGTTTCTGTCTTCTTTTTGGTTGGGCGTCAATGCGAGTGTGTGCTGTATGTTTGCTCTACTCAGTAAAGCTATACGTTTGCTTTTACTGAAGTCTCAAAGTGTCCATTCTTCTAAGCTTCAAAGCTTCTGTCACACTCTGACACTTAGTATATCGTGACCATCATTTATTTGTATATGTTGATTGAGATTTATTGTCATGGTTGGTCCTGAAAAGGTCTGTTGGTTGTTTTGCTTGCTTGTTTGCATGCTGCAAGTTGCTTCTGGAGAGAATCAGCCGTCTACGAAGACGTTGCCCAGGAGATACCTAGATGTCTTGTAATCCTGCGAGGAGGCTTCTCTCAATGACTTAAATCAAGAAATAGTTTTCTAAGATCTACAGAGACACTTGCAGGAACACCTCAGCAAGCGAGAGTCCAAAAGTGGCAGGCTCTAGAAAACAACTCAATGCTAACTCTAGAGGGGCATGATCTCAGAGCTGGTTGGCACAGCTACATGTGGTACAATAAAAGGAAAGTTGAGAAAAGCTTCAGTGACCACTATATTAGAGCCTCTTTAATTAAAACATGGGAAAAGTATAAATCCAGATTTTTTAGCAGTACTCCACTATGGATCTCTCCAGTGGAGGCGAAACATAAACAGGAATTAGGTGAAGGAAACTGGTTAACCTATCAACAAATATTAGAAAAACAGGAGATGGGAATAGGTAAATCCAATTAGATAAGAAGATAAGCAGGAAAGAAGCTTTCCAAAGCTCTTGATGGTCCTCCAAGTGTAGTGTACTAGCAGTGGGTCCATAGGTGACTGAGGAGCCCTGTTCTTGATCTGCATCTTCTCCCACAGTGAGGACATCGGTTTCCAGGTGGAAGGCGGTTGGCTTGACGCACCTTCCTCTTGGCACGTTTCTCTCTTCTGCCCTTCATTTGTGCCTCTTCCAATTCTGCAGCACTGCTGGTCACAGCGGACCTCCAGCTGGAGCGCTCAAGGGCCAGGGCTTCCCAGTCCTCAGTGTCTATGCCAGAGTTTTTAAGGTTGGCTTTGAGCCCATCTTTCAATCTCTTTTCCTGCCCACCTACATCCCGTTTTCTGTTATTGACTTCAGAGTAGAGCAACTGCTTTGGGAGACGGTGGTTGGCCATCTGGACAACATGGCCGGTCCAGTGGAGTTGATGGTGGAGGAGCATCCATTCAATGCTGGTGGTCTTTGCTTCTTCCAGCACTCTGACATTTGTCCGCTTGTCTTCCCAAGAGATTTGCAGGATTTTTCGTAGGCAACACTGATGGAATCATTCCAGGAGTTGCATGTGACATCTGTGGATAGTCCACGTCTTGCAGGTGTATAGCAGGGTTGAGAGGACAATAGCTTTATAAA